TGGCTTACACTTCAAGATCACTAGACTGCAGTGTGGATAATGGAGTATAGAGATGCAAGAATAGAAGGGAAATAAAGTAGGAAGGCAGTGGAAAGAAAGACAGATTGTGCTTCTCTATCAATGTAGAGCAGAAAACTCAATTGATGCAGAGGGTACAGGAGAGAAAGGAATCAAGGAGCAACATGGCACAGTAAGATAACCTGAAAAATGCTCTGATTATGTGTGTTTAATAAACACACAGACACACTGGTAAACAGGACATTGTTTCAAAGGCATAGCTTGCAAGAATGAAAACAGAATGCTTCTGACAGTCTTCCAAACTTCACACTCAACCTGAAGAAGGGGCAGGAAACCAGAGTGGTAAGCAGGGCAGTGAAGCCATGGTTGTGTTGAGGGCACCTACTTATCTAAGAAATCTCTAGGGTTTTAACAGGTGCACAGGAAACTAAAGACAAGGACTTGGGCCTATACAAGAAATCAGGACTGTGATCCTGCATAGGACTGGAAATTCAAAGCGCTATACCCTTCAAGAACCGACTGGGGGAAAAAAACCCTATACTAGCCCAGGGAGACATACAGGACATTTGTTTACTTTGGCCTGCAGTGGGCTTGGAGGGAAAAAGAAAATTTTCCTTTAGAATTAATAACCTTTTAGAATTTTCCCTCACTAAGGTTTTAAAGTTCAAATTTGTCAAGAAAGTGGTCCCAGACTGGAGTTCTGGGGGGCCTGGAAGAGACAAATACAAATCCTGACTGCACAGGTGTACCCTCAACCTGGGTCTCAAAGGATTTCACAGATTAAACAGGATTTCCAAAGCCAAACATGAGCACCCAAAATACAATATACCTGAGGAAATAAGCAACAATGAGTGAGTCAATAGAAACTACAAAGAATATAAGAAAACCCATACAGACTTTAGCTGCTAGAATTAATGGCTACAGAATATAAAATACGCCTATTTAAATGATTAAAGAAAATAAGGGCCGGGCGCGGTGGCTCAAGCTTGTAATCCCAGCACTTTGGGAGGCCAAGACGGGCGGATCACGAGGTCAGGAGATCGAGACCATCCTGGCTAACAAGGTGAAACCCCGTCTCTACTAAAAATACAAAAAACTAGCCAGGCGTAGTGGCGGGCGCCTGTAGTCCCAGCTACTCAGGAGGCTGAGGCAGGAGAATGGTGTCAACCTGGGAGGCGGAGCTTGCAGTGAGCTGAGATCTGGCCACTGCACTTCACCCTGGGCGACAGAGCAAGACTCCGTCTCAAAAAAATAAAAATAAAAATAAAAATAAATAAATAAGACAGGAGCTAGAAAACATGAGCAAGAAACAAGATGCTTTTTAAAATTTATTTTATTATCTTTTTAATGACCAAACAGCTTTGAAAATGAATTAAGTAGGCCAGGCATGGTGGCTCACGCCTGTAATCCCAGCACTTTCGGAAGCCAAGGTGGGCGGATCACCTGAGGTCAGGAGTTCAAGACCAGCCTGGCCAACTTGGTGAAACCCCCGTCTGTACTAAAAATGCAAAAATTAGCTGGGCGTGGTGGTGAGCACCTGTAGTCCCAGCTACTCAGGAGGCTGAGGCAGGAGAATCACTTGAACCTGGGAGGTGGAGGTTGCAGTGGGCCAAGATTGTGCCATTGTACTCCAGCCTGGGCAACAAGAGCAAAACTCCGTCTCAAAACAAAAACAACAACAAAAGAATTAAGTAGAAGTTCTAGAAACAAAGAATAATTGAAACCAAAGCCAATGTTTGGTTAAATAGCAGATTACACACAATTGAAGAGAAAATTAGTAAACTGAAAGACAGAACCAAAGAAATGACTGAGAACAGCCTAGAGACAGGAAAAAGGAAAGCAAGCGTAAGAGACCTGGGGATAGATTGTTAAGGTCTACCATACTCCTAATGAGAGTTCCAGGAGAGAAAAGAGAAAAACCAAAAGACACAGATAATAATGAGATAATGGCTGAAAAATTTCCAGAATTGATTAAAGACAAGAATGACAAGAATCTTCAGATTCAGGAAGCAAACTGAACACCAAGCAGGATAAGTAAAAGAAATTTCAAACACATGAAAATGAAATTGCAGAATACCAGAGATAAAGCAACCAGAGAGAAAAGATATTTGCACAAACAACTATTACATTCACAGCAGATTTCACAACAGCAAAATGGGTTCCAGTCAATAATGATGTATTTTCAAAGTACCAAGAGAAAATAACCAAGCTTAGAAGTGTACAACTACCAGCTGGGCACAGTGGCTCACACCTGTAATCCCAGCACTTTGAGAGGCTGAGGTGGGCGGATCACCTGAGATCAGGAGTTCGAGAACAGCCTGGCCAACAATGGCAAAACCCTGTCTCTGCTAAAAATACAAAAAATAGCAGGGTGTGGTAGTGCGTGCCTGTAGTCCCAACTACTCAGTAGGCTGAGGCAGGAGAATCACTTGAACCCAGGAAGTGGAGGTTGCAGTGAGCAGGGACCATGCCACTGCACTCCAGGCTGGACGACAGAGCGAGACTCTGTCTCAAAAAAAAAAAAAAGAAGTGTACAACTACCTAAATTATCCATCAGATGAGTGAGGGTGAAATAAATATATCATCAAACATAAACAAGCTACCAACAGAGACATACTAAAGGAACTCCTTTAAAGGTATATTTCTTTTTCTTTTTTTTCTTTTGAGACAGAGTCTCACTCGGTCACCCCGGCTGGAGTGCAGTGGCACGATCTCAGCTCACTGCAACCTCTGCCTCTCGGGTTCAAGTGATTCTCCTGCCTCAGCCTCCCAAGTAGCTGGGATTACAGCCGCACGCCACCACTCCCAGCTAATTTTTTGTATTTTTAGTAGAGATGGGGTTTCACCATGTTGGCCATGTTTACAAGATAATATAAACAAAACCAGAAATGTTCTGTTATACTAAAAGTGATGTCATCTGCAACCATTTATCCAGGCAAGAAGAGTCATATCAAAGTTTTCTTCATTCACATTTTTATTACACTTCTGAATATTTGCGTAAGTGAGTAAATGGCTGAACCACATTCCAAGCCACAATCTTAAATATTTTAAATACTGATGAAACCTGGTTGTGATGAGCAAAAACAAAAACATTCTGTATACACATACCCCCACATACTCACTCTCGATGTGAAACAGTACCATGTTCCCTCCCTGTCTAACCGTATTCCAAAATGTTGCCTGTCAATGTTACTGAATTATAACTGACATATAATTCCCTTTCAGTGTCACATTATTAATGCCATAGTGAAAGAAATATTTCTAAAACATGAAATTCTTTCTTATGAGAAAGCATGAAATTGGTCTGAAACTCAACTGGGTTGAAATTTTAGTCATTTGAAAGGTCACCGTTTCTGCTTGATGGCACTGGGTTGCCTTTTCCAATATTTAAGTCTCAAATACACATTTAAAAAGAATGGTTATGACTAGTCAAGTCATACATGTCAAATTATACAAGATGTAGTCCCATGAAAACACCAAAATATTTTAGGAAATGGAGCAGTGATGGCATATATAAAGGTTTATCATATCTCAATACTCTATACAAAACAAATAATGCCAACACACCCTGGTTTGATGGCTTCTGTTTTGGAACACACTTGCCCTAAGGTTTTATTTTTAATTAGCCTACGGCACTTACTTTATTTTCTAATTTTTTTCCAAACATAACAGTAAATGAAGAAACTTTGTTTAAAAAAATTACCTGATGATTCCAATTATTGTTCATGTACAACTTTATTTAAAATAGCAATCTGAGTTGTCTTCCTGACACTGTACTAAATCTTAGTATTCAGTTTCATCAAGTCCTTTGCCAATTCATATATTCAAAAGAAACATTATAAAATGTAAAAGGAGAATGGAGTACGTTAAGGAATAATCAATAATTTAAGATTATCAATAATTTTGATATTAATATTAATTTCTTAGCTGTCCTACTTTAATGATTTTCATGGAAACTCTGGCAAATGTCTTTAATAGTCTCATAACATTAATATTTAAATAAATATGATTTTCATCCAGATTATTTTATTCTTTTTTTTTTCCTTTGGAGACAGGGTCTCATTCTGTCACCCAGGCTGGAGTGTAGTGGTGCGATCTTGGCTCTCTGGAACCTCCGCCTCCCAGGTTCAAGCGATCCTCCCGCCTCACCCTCCCAATTAGGTGGGACTACCGACGCCCACAACCACCCTTAGCTAATTTTTGTATTTTTAGTGGAGACAGGGTTTCACCAAGCTGGTCTCAAACTCCTGACCTCTGGTGATCCGCCCACCTTGGCCTCCCAAAGTGCTGGGATTACAGGTGTGAGCCACTGCGCCTGGCCTATTTTATTCTTATTTATAATGGTTTTCTCAATTTGTAGCTTAAATTGAAAGTATTCGCAAAATGACAATAATTTGTCTCTACTACATAAAGAAGTAATTTTTCAGCCGGGCGCAGTAGCTCACACCTATGTCATCCCAGCACTTTGGGAGGCCGAGGCAGGCAGATCACGAGGTCAGGAGATCAAGACCATCCTGGCTAACACAGTGAAACCCCACCTCTACTAAAAATACAAAAAAATAAGTCGGGCGTGGTGGCAGCGCCTGTAGTCCCAGCTACTCGGGAGGCTGAGGCAGGAGAATGGCGTGAATCCAAGAGGTGGAGCTTGCAGCGAGCCGAGATTGCGCCACTGCACTCCAGCCTGGGCAACAGACCGAGACTCCATCTCAAAAAAAAAAAAAAAAAAAAAAAAAAAAGAAATAATTTTTCTCTCTCAAATGAAGATAAAGTCACTTCTCACAAAATAAACATTAATTTAGCAGAATTAAGTTTCCTCCTATGGCCTTTGATGCTTGAGGATTACCAAGGATCTATGCAATAGAGCACTAAATTTTGGAATTAGTTGAGAATTACCCCAAATTTCCTCTAGTAAACATAATTTTGGCCACAAATGAAGACAAAAGATAAAAGTAATTAACTAAATTCTAGAAGAACACCTCTCGTCAGAAATTAATAGATCTTATTTAGGTTTCTAGGAAGCATTTAACTACATAAAACTTATAGGGAAAAATGGCCATATTTGAAAATTGCTACTAGGATCAACGTAGAGCACAGGATTGTAACGAGCAGAGTCACAGAACATACTAAAGAGGTATGTATAGTCAGTCCCACTGGAACCTGTAGAGTCACATTCTTATATACCTATGGAGAGAGAGAGAGAGAGAGAAGTTAGACATTTAAAATGCATGTCATGGGCCCGGTGTGGTGGCTCATGACTGTAATCCCAGCACTTTGGGAAGCCAAGGCGGGCAGATCGCTTGAGGTCATGAGTTCGAACACAGCCTGGCCAACATCTCTACTAAACCGTCTCTACTAAAAATACAAAAATTATTCAGGTGTGGTGGCAGGTGCCTGTAGTTCCAGCTACTAGGGAGGCTGAGGCAGAACAACCACTTGAACCCAGGAGGCGGAGGTTTGCAGTGAGCAAAGATCACACCACTGTACGCCAGCCTGGGCGACAGAGGAAGACTCCGTCTCAAACAAATTAAATAAATAAATAAATAAAAATAGTAAAACAAAATGCATGTCATAAGGTGAGACCACTATTTCTTTGATTTTTAATTGGATCTTTTTCTTTCCTTTTTGTTTTAAATATCTTTCAGCCAGTGCTACACTACATGTAATATTATTGGTTTGAATGACTTTTCAATCTAACATTTCATTTAATGTTACAGAATCAGACTCAGTTCCCACAATAAGTTGCTAAATCTCATTAGTTCTGATTTTTCTGCTTTTTACATAAAGTATATTCTTTTAAGAAAAGCTATATCCCAGTGTCACCTCTGTAATCAATATAAACATTTACTTCCTCTTAACGTGTTTCAAATTAGAATACAGAATTCTCTCTAAATTGAAGAGGTATAGGAAAAACATTAAAACAACAAAAAACTAAATTATCCTTTCATTCCCATTTGCCTTTCTCACCCCAGATAGCTTTTAAAACCTTGTTATTCACATATTGTGCAACTGAATGTGACCTTTGCTGTGACCAGCAACGCAAAAGTTCCTACATTCAACTCGGTTCTATTTTCTAATTGGTTTTGAAGATAAAGGAGTTCCGTGAAAAACACTGGGAAAGTTTACACTTTAAAAATAAGTTTTAAAAAACATTAAAATTTAGGTAACTTGGGAATACTTTTTGTTTTCTTTTTGTAAATACCTGAATTATGATTTCACACCCCCAAAAATACAAGTAACCAACCCAGTCCGTAACAAAGTGCTATCTGAAAACCATCATTCAAAAAATGACATCTTCGACAAATCTTGGGATGGAATATCACCTTAGTAATGGCCACCTGTTTTTTCTGGTATATATAAAGATGAAATATATACAAAGTTGGCCGGGTGCAGTGGCTCACACCCGTAATCCCAGCACTTTGGGAGGCTGAAGCGGGCGGATCACGAGGTCAGGAGTTTGAGACCAGCCTGGCCAACATAGTGAAACCCTGTCTCTACTAAAAATACAAAAATTAGCCGGGCGTGATGGCGGGCGCCTATAGTCCCAGCTATTAGGGAGGCTGAGACAGGAGAATCACTTGAACCTGGGAGGCGGAGGTTGTGGTGAGCCAAGATTGCGCCACTGCACTCCAGCCTGGGCAACAGAGCGAGACTCTGTCTCAGGGAAAAAAAAAAAAAAAATATATATATATATATATATATATATTTAAAAACTACATTTAAAGTGTTAAATTATGACCTCTTATGGCAAATTACAGAATTTTAAAGACAACTGAGGTCAGATGTGGTGGCTTACATCAGTAATCCCAGCACTTTGGGAAGCTGAGGGGGATGGATCACCTGAGGTCAGGAGTTTGAGACCAGCCTGACCAACAAGGTGAAACCCCGTCTCAACTAAAAATACAAAAATTAGCCGGGCATGGTGGCAAGCACCTGCAGTCCCAGCTACTTGGGAGGCTGAGACAGGAGAACTGCCTGAACCCAGGAGGCGAGGTTGCGGTTAGCCAAGATTGCGCCACTGCACTCCAGCCTGGGCGACAGAGCAAGATTCCGTCTCGAAAAAAAAAAATAAAGACAACTGAATTCAAAATGTTTTAATAGGGTCACCACTTACCTTATAGCAATGCACTAAATCAATAAATCATAAACACTAAGCATACTCTTCATTGACATAATCAATCAAATGCAGGTCTCCAGATGTATTTTAGAGTTTGAGAAAAATTTCCAGGTACCATATGGCAATGGTAATCTACTCGAAAACAAATCTACACTGCATAAGATTGCAGAGTCATCCATCTTCCCAACTGTATGGGATGTTGGGAATGAAAGTTCCCCAACCAAAAACAGCAGTGCTTTGTAGTAACCTTTTGCTATAAGAGAAAACAGCTTCCTATATTAGAAAATGCTAATCTCAGCTGGGCACGGTGGCTCACACCTGTAATCCCAGCACTCTGGGAGACCAAGGTGGGCAGATCACCTAAGGTCAGGAGTTTGAGACCAGCCTGGCCAACAGGGTGAAACGCCACCGTCTCTACCAAAAATACAAAAATTAGCCGTATGTGGTGGTGTACGCCTGTAGTCCCAGCTACTTGGGAGGCTAAGGCAGGAGAATCACTTGAACCTGGTAGGCGGAGGTTGCAGTGAGCCGAGATTGTGCCACTGCACTCCAGCCTGGGCAACAGAGCGAGACTCTGTCTCAAAAAAAAAAAAAAATGCTAATCTCTTAAATATGGCAGAAACATTACAGAAAGAGCTTTAAATGAGGCACATGATCTAAAAAACAACATAAAATATTAGCTTACTGATTTATACTTCATCTTGTTCCACTGGCAGATATCCTCGTTCTCCAAAGCACAAGGAGCTGCCACTTCTGAGTGAGCCCAGCATTTCAAAATTGGGAACTCTGAGAAAAGTGGTAGAAAATGATGTCAGAAAACCTGTATTTGGACTCAAAGCTAGGCTTGTATTAAACCTCAACAGATAGAAGTAATCAAACATTTTAATACATTATGTATATGATCTGGACCCATGTATCACATTCTGTTATTTTAGCATCCTTTTTTTTTTTTTTTTTTTTTTTTTTTGAGACAGAGTCTTGCTCTGTTCCCCAGGCTGGAGTGCGGTGGCGCGATCTCGGCTCACTGCAAGTTCCGCCTCCTGGGTTCACACCATTCTCGTGCCTCAGCCTCCTGAGTAGCTGGGACTACAGGTGCCCGCCAACACGCCCAACTAATTTTTTTTGTATTATTAGTAGAGACGGGGTTTCACCATGTTAGCCAGGATGGTCTCGATCTCCTGACCTCATGATCTGCCCGCCTCGGCCTCCCAAAGTGCTGGGATTACAGGCATGAGCCACTGCACCTGGCCTTTTAGCATCCTTTTTTATGTGAATGCCTAAGAAATTAGAAAATTACAAAAGTATTGAAGTTGAACATGACTTCTTTTTTTTTTTTTTTTTTGAGATAGAGTCTCACTCTGTCACCCAGGCTAGAGTGCAGTGGTGCAGTTTCAGCTCACTGCACCCTCCACCTCACAATTCTCCTGCCTCAGCCTCCAGAGTAGCTGGGATTACAGGTACCTGCCATTGCACCCAGCTAATTTTTATATTTTTAGTAGAGATGGGGTTTCACCATCTTGGCTAGGATGGTCTTAAACTCCTAATCTCGTGATCCACCCACCTCAGCCTCCCAAAGTGCTGGGATTACAAGCGTGAGCCACCATGCCCGGTCGAACATGACTTCTTAATGAATCTCATTGTACTCAAATTTGGGGCTGCTCTTAAAAATTTAATGTAAACTTCTTTTTGAAGCATCACTCAGAAAAGTAAACATATTGTAAGTGCAAAACTCGGTAAATTTCCATATGAAACACACCCATAAAAGAGCATTCAGATAAAAAGACAGAATACCAGAATCCAGTTCTCTCAGGAGAGGAACTTTTCCAAACTTTATTTATGCTAAGAGATACCTTTAATGGAAACAGAAAACAAGGTTGGATGAACAAAGCTAACATAACTGAATACTTTTAAATTTTCTCATCATGAAAGGTATGATGGTAACAAATGTAGCATTAAAAACTTCCCATCTGTCGGTTTTTAGTAATAGTGCTGCTAACCTCCCTTTTTTTTTTTTTTTTTTTGAGACAGTCTTGCTCTGTCTCCCAGGCTGGAGGCAGTGACATGATCTCAGCTCACTGAAACCTCTGCCTCCCGGGTTCAAGCGATTCCTATGCCTCAGCCTCCCGAGTAGCTGGGATTACAGACACACACCACAACACCTGGCTAATTTTTATATTTTTAGTAGAGATGGGGTTTCACCATGTTGTCTAGGCTGGTTTCGAACTCCTGACCTCAACTGATCTGCCCGCCCCGGCCTCCCAAAGTGTTGGGATTACAGGTGTGATACACTGTACCTGGTCCCAGTGCTACTAACTTTTATAAACATTCTAAATCAACCCAAATTTGAAGACACAAAGAACCAAAAACTGAAAGGAACTTCTTAAACTAAAGAAAACCTCTTGGCCGGGCACTGTGGCTCACGCCTGTAATCCCAACACTTTGGGAGGCCAAGGTGGGCGGATCACGAGGTCAGGAGTTCGAGACCAGCCTGGCCAACATAGTGAAACCCCATCTCTACCAAAAATACAAACATTAGCTGAGCATGGTGGCACACACCTGTAGTCCCAGCTACTCAGGAGGCTGAGGCAGGAGAGGCAGAGATTGTGGTGAGCCGAGATCACACCACTGCACTTCAGCCTGGGAAACAGCGAGACTCTGCCTCAAAAAAAAAAAAAAAAAAAAAAAGGAAGAAAGAAAACGTTCTTGAGAAGACTGCAAAGGCTAGAGTGCAGTGGTGCGATCCTGGCTCACTGCAACCTCCGCCTCCTGGGTTCAAGTGATTTTCCTTCCTCAGCCTCCCAAGTAGCTGGGATTACAGGCCCCTGCCACCACGCCCAGCTAATTTTTTGTATTTTTATAGAGATTAGTAGAGATGGGGTTTCACCATGTTAGTCAGGCTGGTCTCAAACTCCTGACCTCTGATCCACCGGCCTCAGCCTCCCAAAGTGCTGGGATTACAGGTGTGAGCCACCTCGCCCAGCTAATTTTTCAATTTACCCAAATTCCCACATAAAAACAGAAACAACAATCACGCAGCAAAATAAAAAACTCACAGACAAAATTTACAACAAAACTAGGTGATAAAGTATCTTCCCAAACATCAAAATACATGCAAGTGGAAACAAAACATCAAAAGCCACAGACTCCTGCCATACTGGTATGAAGACACAAAAAGCAACAGAGGGGCAATGTGGACCGAAGGCTGCAAAAATAAACACACAGTACATGCCTACGAAGATTAAATGGCTACTGAGAAGAGAACACAGCACTACCTATGGTTTTGTCAAAGGAATCAAACCTGAATCTGATCATTCCTCTAGAGCCAGCTGCCAATTTCCAGTAAGTAAAGAAGTAGGAGGAACATGAGTACAATTAGCAAAACCCCAGCTACGACCAACTCTGCAGGTCAAATGGCCCAGGTTTTCAACAGTTCAGCTTGGAAGAAAGGAAGGGGATAGAGAGAAACCTGTAAATTAAGAGACTTGAGGGAAATAGTAGATTTTTATAAATGGACAAGACCTTAGTCTTGGTATAGTATCTTGGAATGCCCATCTGGATGATAAACATATAAAGAAACATAAGGAAGTATTTGAAAGTCAGGATGGTGGGTTAGTCATAGAGGGAAGGAGACGACAGTTGGGGCAGCAGCGTCAAGGACAGGGATGGCAAATGCATGTTTCTTTTTAACTTTTTGATTGTAAAATAAAGCACGCACATAAAAATCTACTCAAATACATAGTTTAGTGAATTATTATAAGGCAAATGCCCTTCTAACTACCACTTAGGTCAAGAAATAGAACTTTGCCAGCCACCCTAGCAGAAGGAGAACTTGCCACCATACCTTTATTCTTATTTTCTGACCCTTAGAAAACACCTGCAGCCCTCACCTTGGTCACAAAACATCAACAAATCTGGGTGATTGACCACAATCGAGGTTTCTCCATCGTGACTGCGTGGCCGATGATAGCGGTAGTGCACAGGCAAAAAGGCTTGAAAACAGTCAACGCACTGTGAATCTTGTCTGGCATAAATGAGAACTTCAGATTCCTTGGACAAATAGTTAGGGGCCTCTATATCAAAATTTTCTGAAACCATCACTGCCTGTTCAAAAAGAAAATAAATATTAATCAAGAAGAAATAAATGAGGAAGATTTTTTAAAAGTTAAAACCGGAAGACTATATTCAGACACACAGAGCAGTGTCAAATTTGCCCCCTTTACAAACAATTTCCATTCCCCTTCCATCCTCAATTTTAAGGAGAGAAACAGAAGACAACTTATGGTTAATAAAAGTTTGCTTACTAAAAATAAACTGAGGGAATTATATTCTAGGGTACCAAATTTCCCCATAATAAAAATTATTCCTGTAATATTTTCTTATTAGTCTGTGTTTAGGTGACAAAACAGGTACCTAAGAACTGAGAAATTTTGTGAATATAGCATTATTCAATAAGCACAAAAACGATGACAAAGGGTGAAACCTGTATTGAGTTAAAATGACTGGTATCATTCTGACAATTTCCTGTTCTTCAGAGAAGCAAGGGAGAGAGCAGTGAGTATGAGCACTGCGGCCAGGAAGTCACAGCAAAGCCCAGCACTCTTTCTAGAGAGGGTATAAAAAGTTAATGGAAAAAATAGTAAATGATTTCTTAAAATAATATGGTAAAAACTATTTTATAGAAAAGTATAGTATTCACCAAAAGTGAAAGTGTACACATGGCAGAAATTAGGCCTGAGTTATAACATGTATATTTATTTATTACACACATATATATATCCACATATACATACTTTTTTTTTTTTTTTTTTTTTTTTTTGAGACGGAGTCTCGCTCTGTAGCCCAGGCTGGAGTGCAGTGGCCGGATCTCAGCTCACTGCAAGCTCCGCCTCCCGGGTTCACGCCATTCTCCTGCCTCAGCCTCCCGAGTAGCTGGGACTACAGGCGCCCGCCACCTCGCCCGGCTAGTTTTTTGTATTTTTTAGTAGAGACGGGGTTTCACCGGGTTAGCCAGGATGGTCTTGATCTCCTGACCTCGTGATCCACCCGTCTCGGCCTCCCAAAGTGCTGGGATTACAGGCTTGAGCCACCGCGCCCAGCCATACATACATATTTATGTATACACACACACATATATCCACATCCACACATAGGCATTATACACATGACCTATGTGTATATGTATGGATGTACACACACACACAACTTCTCTTTAGATTGTCCATGTAAAACCTGGGTATAACTCAGAGAAACAAACAGCATTAACTCCTTCCCATCACATCAAGCATCCTAACTGTCCTCTGACAGTGACACCAAGTGCTATGTTTTCTTTTCATGTTGTTCGTTTTCAGTTAATCACAGCAGGAACAGAACTCCTTGGCAAAAGTCGAGGAATTGTATCATCTCATGAGTCATAGGGGACCTTAGAAGTAATAAAATTAAACCACTGTACCAACAAAGGTATTTTTCAGGTATACCGCCACTGCTTGAATACTTCCAGTGACTGGAAGGAAGCTCATTATTATGAGTCATCTCGATCTATCTACCATTATAAGGTTATTTCTTTTTCATGAGTAGAAACTTTATGTACTAGCCTGTAACATTTATCAGTTGTTCTTGCTTACAATGTCTGCAATAAATTCATTCCTTATTCCACTAGGGATCCTTCAATCATCAGAAGGCAACCATAGCTGCCGCCACGAAGTCTTCTCCTGACAAGGGAAATGTTCACAGTTCTCCTGGGTTCTCATGACATGGTTTCCAAATCATTCCTCATATTAGCTGCCTTTGAAATACTCATAGAGTACAGCAGCAATATTATCTTCTTTAGGCAAAACTTGCATTAGCTTTTTGGCAGCCTTATCTCACTATGCTTTATATGCACTACTATCTTATTTTTTGAGATGGAGTCTCACTCTGTCACCCAGGCTGGAGTGCAGTGGCACAATCATGGTGCACTGCAGCCTTGATCTCCCGGGCTCAAGCGATTCTCCTGCCTTATCCTCCCAAAGAGCTGGGATAATAGGCATGAGCCACCGTACCTAGCCTCTTCTTTTTTCAAGACAAGGTCTCACTCTGTCACCCTGGCTAGAGAGCACTGGCGTGATCTCAGCTCACTGAAGTCTCAACCATCCAGGCTCAAGCAATCCTTACACCTCAGCCTCCCAAGTAGCTGAGACTATAGACATACGCCACCACGCCCAGCTAATTTTTTGTATTTTTAGTAGAGATGAGGTTTCACCATGTTGGCCAGGCTGGTCTCGAACTCCTGACCTCATGATCCTCCCGCGCTGGCCTCCCAAAGTGTTGGGATTACAGGCGTGAGCCACCACACCTGACAGTTAACTAATTTTTAAACTTTTTGGTAGAGATTCTCACTGCGTTGCCTGGGTTGGTTCAAACTCCTTGGCCTCAAGCAATCTTCCTACCTCGGCCTCCCAAAGTGCTTGGATTACAGGTATGAGTCACTGAGCCCAGCCGTCTGTGATATTTCTGTCACACATCTTACTTTTACATATGGTATCAATGCTATGCTACATTGTTATTATTTTTGTCTATTATCTTGTAAAGAGATTGAAATAGTAAAAAAAAAAAAAAAAAAAAGGGAAGTCTTACATATTTACTCTGTAGTTACCACCTGTCATCATCTTATCATCTTTGCTCCTCTGTGTGTAACATCTTTTTTTCTCTTACTACTTTAAAGATTTTCTTTATCATTGTTTTAAGCTATTTGATTATCATGTACCTTTATATAGTTTTCTTCATGTTCTTGTACTTCAGCATCTTTCATATTTGAGTTTATAGTTTTCATTACATTCAGAAAGTTTTCAGTCAATTTTTCTTCAAATATTTTTTCCATCTCTGCCTCTCACTTTACCGTTTGGGGACTCCAGTGACATGCAGGGCAAGCCACTTAGTTGTTACACAGTTCATTAATGCTCTGTTCACCTTGTAAATTTGTTTCTTATCTGTTTTACATTTTTGGTAGTTTCTATTGCAGTATCTTCAAGTTCATTTATCTTTTCTTCTGCAATATTTGATCTGCCACTAACTCATTCAGTGTATTTTTCATCTCACACACTGCAGTCTTAATCTTTAGAAGTTCAATGCTGACTTTTAAAAATATCTTCCATGTTTCCAGTTAAATTCTGAACACATGGGATGCAGTTACAGTAACTGTTTTAATGGCCTGTTAATTCTTTTTTTTTTTAGACGGAGTTGTAGTTTCGCTCTTGTTGCCCAGGCTGGAGTGCAATGGCACGATCTCAACTCATTGCAACCTCCACCTCAGGGATTCAAGTGATTCTCCTGCCTCAGCCGCCGAGTAGCTGGTGGTGCCCACCACCACGCCTGGCTAATTTTTTGTATTTTTCGTAGAGACGGGGTTTCACCATGTTGGCCAGGCTGGTCTCAAACTCCTGACCTCAAGTGATCCACCTGCCTCAGCCTCCCAAAGTGCTGGGATTATAGGCGTGAGCCACCAACCCCGGACTATGGCCTGTTAATTCTAACATCTGGGGCAATTCTGGATTGGTTTTAACTGATTGATTCACCTCCTCATTATAAGTCATTTTTTTCCCGTACATCCTTGCTTAGCAGCTAATTTTTTATTAGAGTTAAGAAATTGCTGATTTGATCTTGCTGGATATGTCTGTACTCCTATACATATTCTTGAGCTTTGTTTGCAATGCAGGTAGTTTACTTAGAAACAGTTTGATTTTTTTTTTTTAAGGTTTTGCTTTTAAGATTTGTTATGCAGGACTAAAGCAATGTTCAGTTTGCGGCTAAGTATTCCCTGCTACTGAGTAAAAGTTCTCTGTTTATCCGTTGTTCAAGAAATTATAAGGCTTTTCTCAGTTTGGTTGTTGGGACGAGGTACTACTCCTGTCCCTGTGTGAGTGCAGTTCCTCAACAGAGAGACATTGTCACCGCTCATTTTGTTGGATGGTTCTTTCCCTGGCATCAGGTAGTTTCCTAACATATTCACACTGATAAATACTCAGCTACATACTTGAAAGGAACATTCTGTTATTTCTGGAGTTCTGCCTCCATGAAGTTCTCTCCTCTCTGGTACACTGTCTTGCGAATTCTAGTGACCTCTGTCTGCCCAGAAATTCAGCTTTATCTCCTCAACTCAAAAAGTCCACTAGGCTCTGCTTGAGTTTCTCTTCCCTGCATTAAGCCTGAAAACATTCTCAAGAAAATAAGCTGGATGACAGTAGGGCTCACCTTACTTATTTCCCTTCTCTTGGATATCTCTGCCCTTCATTGCCTGATATCCAATGACTTTTCTCATTATTTCATATATTTTGTTTATTTCTTGCTTGTTTCAAGTGAGAGACTAAATCTGTTACCTGTTCTCCACTTGTCCACTTATTAAGCATAAGCCTGAATACTACATACTTTCAGTAAAACTTACGGTTTCAGAAAGTGTTTCCATTTTGACCTATAAAACAGCAATTTTATATGTTTCAATCTAATATTATACTGTTTTCAAAGAATCTAAGAGATTTTGATGAAAAAATACATTTAATAACCCTACCTAAAAAAGTGAAATGAGGTTTATTTGATCTGCCTTATCCTTGGTGAACCCACTTAAGGCTTGCATTTATTTTCAAATTATTCACAAACCATCACAAGCTCCTTACAAAGCATTTTGCTGGCACATCACTCATTTAGTTTGGGCACACAGTTCCATTTGCTGCAGCCAAAAATTTTATTTCTTGGAGCAGAGTCAAGACATTAATCCAGGTATACAAGCATCAGCCAGTCCCTACATATAAGTTCCTTCTACCCAGTTACACTTACTATATAATAACACTTAGCATAACAAAGTTTTTCTGTACAAGGAATTGGGGCACAATCTCAACTAGGCAGAAGCAAGCAGCATCTAATATGTCAGGCATGAAATTCCATATATATATATATATTTTGTTTTGTTTGAGACGAAGTCTCGCTCTGTCGCCCGGGCTGGAGTGCAGTGGCCAGATCTCAGCTCACTGCAAGCTCCGCCTCCCGGGTTTATGCCATTCTCCTGCCTCAGCCTCCCGAGTAGCTGGGATTACAGGCGCCTGCCAACTCACCCGGCTAGTTTTTTGTATTTTTTAGTAGAGACGGGGTTTCACCATGTTAGCCAGGATGGTCTTGATCTCCTGACCTCATGATCCACCCGTCTCGGCCTCCCAAAGTGCTGGGATTACAGGCTTGAGCCACCGCGCCCGGCCTCAAATTCCATATATTTAAATGTCACAAATGTAATATCTCTTTTTCTAGAAGTTTCCAAAATAAAGAAGTACCTACACTTATAAGGCTTACAATTAGGGATTAGAAGATTAGAAAGCAGAAAATCGAGATCAAGATAAACTTGTTAATCAATCTATAATGGCACTCTCTACCTGTACCCTTGTAACAGTCAACCTTCAAACATCCAAATCTCATCCCCATCCAAAGGCATGACTTTTTGGGTAATCCCCATCCAAAAAACTCCCATTTTCTTAGAACACGGTAAGTGATTTTATTAAGTAGATTTAAATATGATTCCAACCCACGTCCTTACAAGCCAAAAACTGTGTTGAAATTTGAAATCTATTATTTTAAATTTGAAAAGCCTCACTTAGAATTCATAATTCATTGAAGAAAAGAAATAAATGAGATCCTTCTGGCCGGTGGCTCACACCTGTAATCCCAGCACTTTGGGAGGCCAAGGCGAGCGGATCACCTGAGGTCGGGAGATCGAGACCAGCCAGGCCAACATGGTGAAACCCCCACTCTACTAAAAATACAAAAATTAGCCGGGCATGGTAGCATGCACCTGTAATCCTAGCTACTTGGGAGGCTGACACAGTAGCACTCGAACCTGGGAGACAGAGGTTGCAGTGAGCCGAGATTGTGCCAATACACTCCAGCCTAGGCAACAGAGACTCTATCTCAAAAAAAAAAAATTAATTAAATTTTTAAAAATGAGGTCCTTCCGTAATTGTATGTGTATGTGAACTGTGATACATACACAAAAAACTGAGAACACACTTGGTGATTGGGGTTGACACAGGTAGAATGCTATCATTGCATACCTTTTTATATCTACTCAATGAACCCTTGAGAATGTAATTACTTATTCAAAAAAAATTAAAATACAATAAACGGGTAAAGAAACTGGCCTAAACCACGATTAGAAATAAACAAACTGCCATCATGAATAACTACAGATGCATCTATTTTACAGTTTTAAAAATTATAAGTAGATTATAATCTTATCAACTAAGACAGTGTCTCCCAAAATTTCTTAACAGAAATCACCTGGGTTACATATACCTACTACGTACCCACAATAATTAAAAAAAGAAAAAAGAAATCATCTGGGTTCTTCAAACCAGATTTTCAGGTCCAATCTAGACCTAATGAATCAGGATTTCCCAGGAAGGCAATAATCTGTACAAACGTGCCCCCAAGGAATTCTTATCAAAGTCAGGGAGGCCGGGCACGGTGGCTCAAGCCTGTAATCCCAGCACTTTGGGAGGCCGAGACAGGTGGGTCACGAGGTCAGGAGATCGAGACCATCCTGGCTAACATGGTGAAACCCCGTCTCTACTAAAAAATACAAAAAACTAGCCGGGCGAGGTGGCAGGCGCCTGTAGTCCCAGCTACTCGGGAGGCTGAGGCAGGAGAATGGCGTAAACCCGGGAGGCGGAGCTTGCAGTGAGCTGAGATCCGGCTGCTGCACTCCAGCCTGGGTGACAGAGCGAGACTCCGTCTCAAAAAAAAAACAAAAAAACAAAAAAAGAACAAAGTCAGGGAAACTCTTCTAACTAAGGGATAAGATTTAGGCCCAGCAAGGGCAACAATATTGCAACCAGACAATCCTGGATCCATTTATTGGCTCTTCCATTTACCTATATGATTTTGGATAAGTTACTTGGCCTCGTTGTGCCTCTGTTTTTTTTTGTTTTTTTTGTTTTTTTGAGACAAAATCTCATTCTGACACCCAGGCTGGAATGCAATGATGTGACACTTACCCAGATGTTGGGGTATATGTCATTCTCATTAATAAAGTTACTGTTGAGGCACTATTTATTAATCATTAATTTTCTCAAGACATACACATACACACAGATAATTTTCTTAGTCACTGAGCTGTGAACCACCTTGCTAAAAAGCATTTAACTAGCTCAGTTTAGTTGGCTTATTCCTGACAAGAGTCACTCACTTGACAAAGACTATGCCCATTCTATCTCTAAAAATGTCACTTTATACACTTTAACAAAATGAAAAGAAAACCTGCTATTTTTCCTTAGTCCAAACTATAGCACCCCTAAATTAATTTCTCTCCCAAAAAATCCCCTAATAACTGTACCTCTGTTATGTTTCTCTCTCGTAATGAAGCCAACTCATATGGATCCACAAAAAGTCCTGCAGGAATGTCCTGTTTAATTAAGAGTCGGCAGGTCTGTAAGTCCTCAATGCTTTCTCCAAACTTCACTTTGATTAAAAGGTCTCTGTAAGACAAGTACATTTAAAGTAAATCTCTTCATTCAACTGTTAAATGAGATAACATAACACTGTATTCCTATTAGTGAAAACATTGTATTTCAAAATTCATTTTCCAAAAGTAGATCATAAGGTCAAATGAAATATTTATAACATGTCAGAATCATCCATTAGATCTTTCATAATTCATGTCATAAGCCACTATAGCATTATTGTAAAAATAGACAAAGATCAATGGAAAGGAATGGAATCCAGTAACATTCACACAATGTTCAATAAAGGTACCAACGTAATTTAATGGGGAAAGGATAGTCTTTTCAACAAATGGTACTGAAACAACTGGATATTTACATAGAAAAAAATAGGCCACAAGGCAGGCATGGTGGTTCATGCCTATAATCCTAGCACTTTGGAAGGCTGAGACAGGTGTACTGCCTGATCTCAGGAGTTCGAGACCAGCCTGGGTAACATGGCGAGACCCAGTCTCTATCAAAAATACAAAAATTAGCCGGGCATGGTGGCACATGCCTGTGGTCCAGCTACTCAGGAGGCTGAGGCAGAGGAATCTCTTGAGCCTGGAAGGTGGAGGGTGCAGTGAACCAAGATCACGCCCCTGTACTCCAGCCTGGGTGACAGAGCAAATCCCCATCTAAAAAAAAGAAAAAAGAAAAAAACAGGCTGAGGATGGTGGCTCATGCCTGTAATCTCAGCACTTTGGGAAGCTGATGCAGGAGGATTGTTTGAAGCCAGGAGTTTGAGACCAGCCTAAGCAATATGGAGAGACCCGTCACTAAAAAAAATTTAAAAATTAGCCAGGCGTGGTGATGTGTGCCTATAGTCCCAACTACAAGGGAGGCTGTGGTAGGAGAATCTTTTGAGCCCAGGAAGTCAAGGCTGCAGTGAGCTCTGATAGCACCACTATGTTCCAGCTTGGGGGACAGAGACAAGACCCTGTCTCAAGAAAAAAAAAAAAAGAGAGAGAGAGAGAGAAGATATATATATTTTTAAAGCTAAATGCAACTTTAAGAGATGAAGAATATAATTTCTGAAATAAAAACTTACTCAGACATAATTAAAAGCCATTAGATGCTGAAGAAGAAAAGACCAGTGACTTGGAGACAGAGCAACAGAAACTATCCACGCTGAAGCACAGAGAGGAAAAAAGACCAGGGAGAATAAAAGAACAGCCTCCAAGGCCTTTAAACAATATCAAGTAGTCTAGTATACATATATTTGGAGTTCCTAAAATAGAGAAGAGACTGTAACAGAAAATAAAAAAGAAGATATAATGGCTGAACACTTTCTGAATTTCATAAAAATTCTAAGTCTACAAATCCAAGAAGCCCAACCAACTCCAAGCAGGATAAATACAAAGAAAATCACATCAAGGCATATTATTATCCAGTCAATGGAAAACAATCTTAAAATTTATCAATAATTATGTAGAGATTAACAAAGATAGGAATAAGCTAGAAGATAATGGAGCAACTTATTTAAAGTAGTAAAAGAAAAGCGGCTGTCAATCTAGAATTTTATATCCAGGCGGAAAATCTTTCAAAAATAAAGGCAAAATAAAGATTCAGACAAACAAAACTAAGAGAATTTGTCACTGCAAGAAATGACAGATAGTAAATGATACTAGACAGAAACATAAATCTGTAAGAAAGAAGAGATCTGAAATGGTAACTATGTGGGGGAATATAAAATACTTTTTTCTCATGTTATAATTGCTTTCAAATATGATTGCTAGACAAATTGGAGCCCTTGAGCATTGCTGGTGGGAATGTAAAATGATGTGACCACTATGGAAAACTCTATGACAATTTTTCAAAAAAACAGAATTATCATATGATCCAGCAATTCCACGTCTGGGTATATGAAAGCATTTAAGAGGCAACAGCCAAAAGGCAGGAGCCACCAAAGTGCCCGTCAACAATGAACGGATAAGCAAACTGTGGTATCAACATACAATGGAATTTATTCAGCTTTAAAAAGAAGGGAAATTCAGGCCGGGCGCAGTGGCTCAAGCCTGTAATCCCAGCACTTTGGGAGGCCAAGACGGGTGGATCACGAGGTCAGGAGATCGAGACCATCCTGGCTAACACGGTGAAAACCCGTCTCTACTAAAAAAACATACACAAAAAAACTAGCCGGGCGAGGTGGCGGGCGCCTGTAGTCCCAGCTACTCGGGAGGCTGAGGCAGGAGAATGGCGTGAAACTGGGAGGCGGAGCTTGTAGTGAGCTGAGATCCGACCACTGCACACTCCAGCCTGGGCGACAGAGCCAGACTCCGTCTCAAAAAAAAAAAAAAAAAAAAAAAGAAGGGAAATTCTAACATACCCTAAAACACGAAGGAATGGTGAGAACATTATGCTCAGTGAAATAAGCCAGACACAAATATTAGATGATTCTACTTATATGAGGTACCCAGAGAAGTCAAATTCACAGAGACAAGAACGCTGGTTGCCAGGAGCTGGGAGAAGGAGAAATGAGTAGTTATTGCTTAATAGGCAAAGAATTTCAGTTATACAAAATAAAGAGTTCCGCAAATGAATGGTGGTGATGGTAGCACAATAATGTGAATGTACTTGATGCCACTGAATTGTACTTAAAAATAGTTAAAATTAGGCTGGGCGTGGTGGCTCACGCCTGTAATCCTAGTACTTTTGGAGGCTGAAGCAGGCGGATCATGTGGTCAGGAGATGGAGACCATCCTGGCCAACATGGTGAAACCCTGTCCCACAAAAATTATCTAGGCGTCCTGGCATGTACCTGTACTTGGGAGGCTGAGGCAGGAGAATCACTTGAACTAGGGAGGCAGAGGTTGCAGTGAGCCAAGATCGCGCCACTGCACTCCAGCCTGGGCGACAGAGTGAGACTCCATCTCAAAAAAAAAAAAAAAACAAAAAAAGTTAAAATTGTCAATTTTATGTTATGGGTGTTGTATCACAATTAAAATAAATAATGTAAAAAGTGACTGCTTAAAGAAAAGCCAATAACAATACATTGTGAGGCTCATAGCACAAGCAAAAAATAAAGTAAAACATGTGATAACAACAGCATAGAAAAGAGAAGGAGATGAAACTGTCCTGATAAAACAGTATCTGTGACATGGAATAAAATTATTTGAAGATAGACTGTGATAGGTACCGATTGCACACTGTAAACCCTAAAGCAGCAAATTAAAACCAGAGACAGATAGCCAATCAGCCAACACTTGAGATAAATACTCAATGTATCCAAAATAAGGCAAGAAAAAAAGAAGACCAGATGCAACAAAGAGAAAAACAAATAGAAAAAAAAGTAGCTAGACATATTTAAACCAAACCAACTATATTAATATTTACATTAAAAATAAATTTCTAATCACTCCAATTAGAATGCAGAGACTGACGGATAAAACAGCAACTCCTTTCACAGGCTCTTGGGATTTGGAAAGAAAAAAAAGGCCACCCTTAACTATATGCTATCTACAGAAAACACGCTGAAGATAAAAACGATAAAAGTAAAAAGATAAAAAAGATATGCAAATATTAATAATAAATATGGGATGACTATATTAATAGTAGAATAAGGAGACTCCAGGACAAGCAATATTGTCAGTAATATTGTCAGTTGTAAAGAAAGACATTACACAAAGATAAAGGGGACAATTCATCCAGTTCATCAAGAACATATCAAGAGCATCAAGAACAATCCTAAATGTAGCATACATACCCAAAAACAGAGCTTCAAATAGTCATTGTTAAATTCTATTAAACATTAAAGGAATAAGTAATACCAATGCTACACAAGCAGAAACTAGAGAAGAAGAAAATGTTTCCCAATTGATAAGGCCAGCAATGCCCTGATGGCGAAACCAGAATAAGGCATCACAACAGAGTCATGGGCCAATAGCCTTCATGAACATACAAGTGAAAATACCTAGCAAGTTATTAGCAAAACAAATCCAGATCTATTTCAAGAAAATAACATCGCATGACCAAGGAGTAGGTTCACTATTGGAAACATCAATGTACTTCATCATATTAACAGAATAAAATATAAGAATTGTATGATCCTCTCAAAACAGAGGAAGAAAAAGTATCTGACAAACTTTAACACCCAATCATGGAAAAACACAAAAAAAAAACAAAAAAAAAACACTCAGGAAACTAGAAACTTAAGAGAAAGTCCTCAACTCATAAAAAGCTATCTACAAAAAACCTAACACAAATATACTTCATGGTGAAATAACTATACCCTTCCCCCTTTTTTTTTTGAGACGGAGTCTCACTCTGTCACCAGACTAGAGTGCAGTGGCATAATCTCGGCTCACTGCAACCTCCGCCTCCCGGGTTCAAGCGATTCTCCTGCCTCAGCCTCCTGAGTAGCTGGGATTACAGGCGCCTGCCACCACGCCCGGCTAATGTTTTGTATTTTTAGTAGAGATGGGGTTTCACCATGTTGGCCAGCTTGGTCTTGAACTCCCGATCTCGTGATCTGCCGGCCTCGGCCTCCCAAAGTGCTGGGATTACAGGCATGAGCCACTGCGCCCAGCATAAAAAAATTAAAAAAAAAAAAAAAGAATCAGAATTTATACATCAAGTATCTGAGAATCATTTCAAAATAATCACCTTGAGAAGCTTCAGTTTGGGGAAGTTTTCTTGAGGAACAGTTTCCACACCCTTTTGCCAGACTTTTAAAGATCTTCAATATAGGCAAATATTCATCTTTTGAAAATAGTTTCTTTTTTGGAAACAGCTTGGTCATTTAGAATCAACAGTAGTAAGAAATAGTGATTTAGAGTAGTGTATCATAGTACTTGAGATGGCTTTGAAGTATACTAGTACTAAATTTGAGTCAGAGCTCTATCACCCTAATTTCTACCGAATTATTTAAATTCTTTGAGCTCTACCTCCCTCATCTGAAAAATAAGAAAAAATCATCTATCTCATGCCATTGTGAAGATTAAATGGAATATTGTATATATAGGCACTGGTTGTATATATAAAAATATACTGTATATGAGACGGTGTGTGTGGGTTCTATACAAATACTATGCTATTTGATATAGGGTACTTAAGCATCTGAGGATTTTGGTGTCCTCCGGGGAGGTCCAGGAGGAACCAATCCCCTCAGATACCAAGGGACAATTGCACTTGGTAAACAATACATATTTGTTTTCTTCTTTGCTCCACTCAATTAATCATTATTTCAAAGTGTGAACCACATATGCCATCACTGAGTAACTCTGAGGAAGCAAGTGATTTTTCTCTTTTCTTTTTGAGACAGAGTCTCGCTCTGTTGCCCAGGCTGGAGTGCAGTGGCATGATTTCAGTTCACCACAACCTCCACCTCCTGGGTTCAAGCGATTCTCCTGCCTCAGCCTCCGGAGTAGCTGGGACTACAGGTGTGTGCACCACCATGCCCAACTAATTTTTGTATTTTTAGTAGAGACAGGGTTTCACTATGTTGGCCAGGCTAGTCTCGAACTCCTGAGCTTGTGATCCGCCCACCTCGGCCTCCCAAAGTGTTGGGATTACAGATGAGAGCCACTGCATCCGGCCTGATTTTTCAATTTATACATATTTCAACCATCAATTTTTTGCTCTCAATTATATGAGACATTATTTTAATAGAAATAGAAATCAATGGGCAACTTACCTGTGGAAACCATCTTTCAAAACTTCTTGCCTCAAAATAATTTCAGAACACGTGGCCCTTGTGCCTATAAGAACCAAAAGATATTTTTTAAAAAATAAAAGCACTGAATAAAATAATATTTAAATAATTAGAAAAGAGTTATTTTAGTAGGCTTTACTTGCCTAGAAAATCTAACCTAAAAACAAAAACTTCTAAAATTTAAGCAATTTGAGAGAGATATATATATATAAATCTACTTGCAATATAGCACTGTGGTTAAGAACAATGACCCTGAAGTTAGATTGCCTGATTTCAAATCCCAGTCTGCAACTTAATAGCTGTGTCAACTTTGGGCAAGATAGTTTATCTCTCTACTAGCTGTCATAAGAATTTAATATATATGTAGAAGCACTTAGAACAGTAGTAAGAATACATATTAAGTGTTCTATGTAAGTGTTTGTTATTAATATTACTTTATTCAGGTGATCCCAAGATGCCAAAAAGGAACAGGACGGCTAAAGAGCCAGGAAATCTCCATTTTAGCCCTAGTTCACCGAAACTGTGTATCAGATAGATACATACTGGCAACTTCTATATTCTAACATCCATGCCTACAAAACCAGGAACATGGTACATTTATGCCTTGTGGAGATGCTGGAAGGTTTAAAAAAAAAAAAAAAAAGAAACAAAAGAAAGCTGGAGGCAGTTAAAGCTTCAATGGGTTCCACCGTAAACTTACAATAACCAGAAATCTCAGTACACTGACTTCATCCAGATTCCAGACATTCAAGCTGTTACTCAGAGCCAGGTGTGCCAGCTTGCACCTGAGGTGGGAGGATTGCTTGAACCCACGGGATGGGGACTGCAGTGAGCTATGATTACACCACTGCACTCAAGCCTGGGTGACAGAGAGAGACCTTGTCTCTAAACACAAAAAAAGAAAACTATTACTCAATGTAAGCATCTTAAAACTCAAAATTCAGTTACTATTGACCAGCAACTCTGCCAGGCATTTGCTATGGAACTTTGTCCCATTTTAAAAGCTGTAAATCTGTGGGAAGAACATTTAAAAAACACACAAGCCTGGACAACATAGCAAGACTCCATCTCCATTAAGAAAAATACAAAAATTAGCTACTTAGGAGGCTTAGGTGGGAGGATGGGTTAAGGCCAGGAGGCAGAGGGAGGCTGCAGTGAGCAGAAACTATACCACTTCACTCCAGCCTGGGTGACAAAGCCAGACCTTGTCTCAAAACAAAACAAAACAAAACAAAACACACACACACACACAGAAAACTATATATTACTATATATTATTTGCATAATTCTGTTATTATCGTTGCATATTGCTGAATCCATTCGATGTATTTCTGAAAAGATACATTAAGAAAAATGATGTGAAGGTGAAACTATCGGAAGGAATGAGAAAAGAATAGAAAAAAATAACATTTTAAAAATAACATCTAACGTGCTAGATCCTCTACTTGGTGCTTTCGTATGTGTTTTAACTTTCACAATCTATAGCAAAATAAGCAAAATTACTGCCATTTGTTTGCAGGAGGAAACTTGAACTTCTAAAGCATTAGTAAATGGCCCTGGGTCATATAACTAACTACCTGACGGAATAGAAGAAAGATATGCCTGACTTTTAAAGCCTAAAATACTTCCACTTTCAACACTAAAATTGAAAATTTTAGTGTTACAGCTCTTTTAGAATTTGTCTAGTTACATTTCACTGGAAAACCTCCAACCCTCAAAAAAGAAATTGTATTTGCTTTGGAGAAGCATATGATCTTTTTCCAAATAAACAAATCCCCAAATCCCATATGTATTTTATACTAATCCAGATTTTTATTTGTTCCTTTTTTATTTTTATTATTTATTTTTTTGAGACGGAGTCTCACTTTGTCCCCAGGCTGCAGTGCAGTGGCACGATCTCGGCTCACTGTAACCTCTGCCTCCCGGGTTCAAGCGATTCTCCTGCCTCAGCCTCCAGAGTAGCTGGGACTACAGGCGCCCACCATCATGCCTGGCTAATTCTTGTATTTTTAGTAGAGATGGGGTTTCACCATGTTGACCAGGCTGGTCTCGATCTCTTGACCTGGTGATCTGCCCTCCTCGGCCTCCCAAATGCCGGGATTACAGGCGTGGGCCACAGCACCCAGCCAAGCCTCTGCCTCTTAAAAAAAAGAACAAAGAGCCCAGGCACGGTGACTCATGCCTGCAATCCCAGCACTCTGGGAGGGCGAGGCGGGCAGATCACAAGGTCAAGAGTTTGAGACCATGCTGGCCAACATGGTGACACCCCGTCTTTACCAAAATACAAAAAATTAGCCAGGTGTGGTGTTGTGCACCTGTAGTCCCAGCTACTTAGAAGGCTGAGGCAGGAGAATCGCTTGAACCTGGGAGGTGGAGGTTGTAATGAACCGATATCACACCACCACACTCCAGCCTGGCGACACAGGAAGACTCCGTCTCAAAAAAAAAAGAAAAAAAAAGAGAGAGACAGGGCCTCACTCTGTCACACAAGCTGGAGTGCAGTGTCATGATCACAGCTCACTGCAGCCTTGAACCTCTGGGCTCAAGCAATCCTCCTGCGTCAGCCTCCCAAGTAGCTAGGATTACAGGCCCACGCCACCACACCTGGCTACTTTTACTTTTTTTTGTAGAGACAGGGTCTTGCTATGTTTTCCAGGCTGGTCTTGAACTCTTGGCCTCAAGCAATCCTCCAACCTCAGCCTCCCAATGTGTTAGAATTTCAGGTGTGAGTCGCTGTGCCCAGCACAAATCCAGATTTTTCTTCATCATGTTTAATTTTAATGGGGGTAGGGTGGGAAGTGAGGGCTACTATCCAACTACAAATCAAATTAGAAGAAAAATTATTAACAGGTTTAAATTCTATTGGTATGTACACCAGACAGCAGTTGATCACTGGGACCGGAGAAAGGCTAATTTACAAATAGTATAGCAAATACTAGAATATTATGACTTTAAAGGCAAAAGTACCATTTTTATTTTTTATTTTTATTTTTATTTTTATTTTATTTATTTTTTTTTTTTTTTGAGCCGGAGTCTCGCTCTGTCGCCCAGGCTGGAGTGCAGTGGCCGGATCTCTGCTCACTGCAAGCTCCGCCTCCCAGGTTCACGCCATTCTCCTGCCTCAGCCTCCCGAGTAGCTGGGACTACAGGCGCCCGCCACCTCGCCCGGCTAGTTTTTTGTATTTTTTTAGTAGAGACGGGGTTTCACCGGGTTAGCCAGGATGGTCTCGATCTCCTGACCTCGTGATCGCGATCCGCCCGTCTCGGCCTCCCAAAGTGCTGGGATTACAGGCTTGAGCCACCGCGCCCGGCCTAAAGTACCATTTTTAAAAAGAATTTGTTGGATGTGAATTTACCTTCAACATTTTCCCTCTTAAATATTACTTTGGTTGTGGTGAACTGGCTCTGGAAATTGACTCCTTTTTACTTTTTTTCTTTTTGAGACAGAGTCTCCTTCTGTCACCCAGACTGGAGTGCAACCGCACGATCTCAGCTCACTGCAACCTTGGCCTCCCTCGCTCAAGCGATTCTCCTGCCTTAGCCTCCCGAGTAGCTGGGATTACAGGCACACGCCATCAGGCCTGGCTAATTTTGACCCCTTTTTAATTGTAAAATGCCAATGCTGGAAGCCTCTAGGGATGACCAAATCCAACTGTTTAAAAATTCTGCTGGCCGGGCATGATGGTTCATGCCTGTAATCCCTGCACTTTGGGAGGCTGAGGAGGGTGGATCACCTGAGGTCAGGAGTTCAAGACGAGCCTGACCAATATGGCAAAACCCCGTCTCTACTAAAAATACAAAAAATTAGCTGGGCATGGTGGCGGGCGCCTGTAATAATCCCAGCTACTTGGGAGGTTGAGGCAGAAGAATTGCTTGAACTTGGGAGGCGGAGGCAGAAGAATTGCTTGAACTTGGGAGGCGGAGGTTGCAGTGAGCCGAGATCGCACCATTGCACTCCAGCCTGGGCAAGTGAGACTCCATCTCAAAAAAAAAAAAAAAAAAAGAAAGAAAAGAAATTCTTGGCCTCATAATCCTTTGTTTAGATAAACTTGTAAACTTGAAAACCCAGTATGTAAACACACAAGCAGAACTGCACTGATTGACACATACTAAATGGATCTAAATGGTACCAACGATGACAGAAACATCCTCATTTTACAGATGGAGAAACTTGCCGGGTTTGTGCTTTCCTCCCGTCAAACCTTACCACTTTATTGTAATTATTCCCGCACTTGCCTGCCTCAGTAGTACAAGCAGTTTGCCAACTACTACTTGCACGAACAACTAGCAGTTTGCCACGCAGTCCTATATTCGGTTTAGGCATCCTCAGGCCTCACAGGGCGCTAAGGCCTTGCTGGCCCCTTGGTGATCAGAAGCTTCGTGCAACCCAAGAACGTCCCAAGACGCCTGACGGCTGACTTTCCTTCTCAGAACCTTAGTGACAGGGCGGCCAGTCCAGCCTGGGAACCGCAGGGCCCGAGCCCCACTCTCCGGAGACCCGGGATCCGCCGCAGAGCAAAGCGCACGGGAGCGCCGGGGGCGGGAGGAGGGCACGCGGCTCTAGTGTTTGACCTCCTCCGGCTCGCCCTGCTGATCTAAGTCCCGCGCCGGGTCCCCACATCCCCGCAACCAGCGGAGAGGCCGGGGAGCCGCGACCGCTGCCCACGCTCCGGCCCCCAAGCCCCGCCCGCATCCGCAGCCCCGCCCCCTTACCAGCGTCAGAGCGCGCGGCGCGGAGGGCTGCGGGGGGCCCGCGCGTGAGCGTGAGCCCGGTCGCCGCCCCGAGGAGCAGCCAGGCGACCGCCCGAACCGCCGCCACCCGAGCCGCCAGGACGCCGGAGGCCGGTCGCCCGAGAGGGGCGCGCGGGGCCAGGTGCGGACGCAGGAAGGGGCCTGGCCGCCCGCAGCTCCTACCGCGCGCTGCCCCAGATTTACCGGCCGGGACAGAGGGCTGGGTGCGCGCCTGGCGCCCGCGGTTCCCCGCGGCCTGTAGTCCCGGCCCCCACAGGTTCCCGCGCGGCGTGAGGCGGCCGTCCCCGCCCCGCCGTTCCCCTGTCCGCCCACCCGGGGGCGGGCGAGGAGCTGCGCACGCGCGGGGACGCGCGCCCGGCCTGTTGCTGTGGAAACGCGGCCGGCGCCCCCCGGAATCCCTGCACGCCGAGGTGGGAGCCGGTGGACCGTGCCCCCGGCCGGCCCCACCTCCGCTTCCCGGTGTTTGAGGGTTCGGGCCTCCAGCCGGGGAGTTCACCCCTCGGGCTCGTCAGTAGGGCTGTGGCTGTGGCCTCTTCCTGCAGCGCCAGGCTCCGCCCGGCCTCAAAGTCGGCTTAGGTGCTTTCCGTGCGCTGCGGTTGGGTGGAAAAACCCACTCCTGGGTGTTTAGACGTTGGCCTGCAGAAGATGTCATTTCTGTATTTCTCTAAGGGTAAGAAAGCCAGCCTTGCACTAGTGGAGACGTGAGTAGGGAGAGAATCGTCTACCGTTTGGGGACATCCGTACCCTTAGGTGCTGTGGGGCTTCCTAACAAGATTGTAGGCAGTTCCTGATCTCTGGAGAGAGGAGTATTCGTGTCCAGGAAGAATAATTGTATAAACGTGGCCTCCTTCTTCCTGAACAGAGCGGAATCTGTAAGCAGGCCAAGAGAGCACAGGCGGCTTGGAGTGGAATAGAGGGCTCTAGAGCTGGTGTCTCAAAGGGGAAACAATGTATGTCAAAAGATACTATCCAAAACTGAAAATAGCCGGGCAAGGTGGCTCACGCCTATAGTCCCAGCACTTTGGGCGAATCACCTGAGGTCAGGAGTTCGAGACCAGCCTGGCCAACATGGCGAAACCCCGTCGCTACTGAAAATACAACAATTAGCTGGGCGTGGTGGTAGGCACCTGTAATTCCAGCTACTCGGGAGGCCGAGGCACGAGAATCGCTTGAACCCGGGAGGTGGAGGTTGCAGTGAGCCGAGATCACACCACTGCACTGCAGCCTGGGCGACAGAGCGAGACTTGTTTCAAAAAAATAAAAACTGAAAATGGTAGTATAAGCATGTTTCTTAAGAAATGGAGAGATCAATTTTGGAAGGCATGCTTTTTAAAATTCGATCTGGCTCCGTATGAAGAGGAGTAGGGCCAAGGACTATAGTTTGTTGTTATAAGCCTTATAGAATTATTTTATATTCCAAATACAAACATTACTTTAGCAAAAATTAAAGTTAAATTTTAAAAAGAGTCTAGTAAAAAAAACTACATTATTTGAGCACCAACTGCATACATCTTTGAGGAGTACAGCCATTGCGTCAGTGTGTGTAGTTTATATTGTGCCCAGTAGGTTCTAGTTTACTAACATCAAATTTTAGTTAGGTGAATTGGGAGTAGTATTCGTTGAAAAACAAAAAAAAAAAGGAAGAAAAGAGAAGGAAAAGAAGGAGAAAATAGTGTGGGATCATTGCATCAGATTAGAGGTAGAGCACAGTAATTTTTTAAAGTTTTTTTTTTTTTTAGAATAGACTTATCACGCTTTGGAGAGGCTGTTGTGCAGTGGCACCATCTCAACTCACTGCAGCCTCAAACTCCTGGGTTCAAGCGATTCTCCCACCGTGGCCTTTGGAGTATCTGGGACTACAGGTGCATGCTGCCATGCCTGGCCAATTTTTAAATTTTTTGTAGAGACATGGTCATGGTCTCACTGTGTTGCCCAGGCTGGTCTCAAACTCCTGGCCTCAAGGGATCTTCCCTCTTTGGCCTCCCAAAGTGTTGGGATTACAGGCCTGAGCCACCATGCCTGCCTCCATCTTTTTGAGATGGAATCTTGCTCTGTCACCCAGGCTGGAATGCAGTGGTACCATCTCGGCTTACTGTGACCTCCACCTCCCAGGTTCAAGTGAGTCTCCTGCCTCGGCCTCTCGAGTAGCTGGGATTACAGGCACCTGCCACTATGCCCAGCTAATTTTTGGATTTTTAGTAGGGACGTGGTTTCACCATGTTGGCCAGGCTGGTCTCGAACTCCTGACCTCAAGTGATCTGCCCACCTCAGCCTCCCAAAGTGCTGACTGGGGTGAGCCACTGTGCCTGGGCTTATACGTGATTAATTTTCTAAGAGTAAAAATTCTCATGTCCAACAATAAGTGTGAATAATATGATTTTAGTACATCTATAAAATACAACACTTAGCAGTGGTATAAAATGTTACATTGTAGTAAAACATTTAATGACAAAATAATAACATATGTTGTTAAATCTGAACTTCAGGAAATAGCTTGTACGACCATGTGTGAAACATACTTAAACTATATGCCTAGAAAAAAGACTGGACACAATTAAGGGTGATTATTTTCTATATGTTTCCCCTCTCCTTTGCCCCCAGTATTCTACAACGAAGGTGTATAATCACTGCTAAGTATTTTATTAAAAGTCTGTTCCTAATAGTGATTCTTCAGCAGAACTGAGTTCACGAAGATATCATCACCCTATGCCACTTTACCTCAATATTTCTTAACATTTACAAATCTTTCTGAGAATGTCATAGTCACATCTAAAGCAGTGCTTAGGAAATTAAGTGTATTATTTGGGCATTGAGGGTGGGGAAAGGAAGAGAGAATAATAAGTATTCATCTACTGATAGCTGTGCTTCTTGTAGCTAGAAAAATATCATATAGTGAGACACGTAGGCCAAAATAAAAGCCGTGCAGACATTACTGACTTGTATATGAAGAAGCTGATTCTGCATCAGGTCTGCTTTTTGATCAGGCTTCTAGACTGTAAATGCTTACGAAAATGTACAGGTACCATCATTTTAATTCATAGCATTAAACAATGTATGGAATGCCTACTACTTTCCAGGTATTATGCTGAGATATTGTGGTGAAAAATGAATATGCCCCCACCCTCATATACCATATTGACTAGAAGGGAAGATAGATGATTAAATAAATAACGAAAAACTCTAGTAAAATAATTGGGAAAGTACAAAGGAGACAGCTCTGGACTGGTGAACCTCTCAGGACAAAATGATTAAGGTTAAAAAACTCATAGTACCTTGATACCGAGGATGCTTGATATGCCCTTTTTTAACTGATAAATAGTAAAGACCCTATAGGTCAGCTATTGGACTGACTTAGGGGTTCTTATTCAATCTTCGGTAAGAGTGCAGTACACTAAGAGGTTCACACTGGATTGCATCCCCAGATTCACATAGGAACAAGTCTATACCTTGAGAAAACCAGAGAGCCTTAGGGATCCAACAGATTGAAACTAACCCAGGACCAAACTGAACCTTCAGGGCAGCTCTCAAAATAGGAAGCTCTCTTTGTGGTCGCTTCAGCACACATACACCACAATTGGGATGATACAGAGAAGATTAGCATGGCCCCTGCGCAAGGATGACACACAAATTCATGAAGATTCCACATTTTAATTTTAAAAAAATATTGAGCTTCACAGGCTGAGCATCTGTGGCCAGAGCTGGACTAGAATCGGATCTTCTGGGGCAAAGGGGCGAGGGGAATGAATGACATTTATCCAACACCTAGTTGTTTTTTCCCTGTAGCAGGAAGTCATTATGCAACTTACACATTTTCATCAGATTTCCTCTGACTTACCCTGACATGTACGTGGGAATGATGTGCACTGCCAAGAAATGTGGGATTAGGTTTCAGCCTCCAGCTATTGTCTTAATCTATGAGAGTGAAATCAAGGGGAAAATTCGCCAGCGCATTATGCCAGTTCGAAACTTTTCAAAGTTTTCAGGTAACTTTTGTCTTATCTTGCCTCCTGTCTTAAATATTCTCTAAATACAGGTTCACATCATGACTGTCAGGGATTGGATGTGTGACACTGGATGAATTACTTACTGTCAATGAGTTTCAGTTTCCTAATCTATAAAAGGGAATTTTTTTTTTCCAGTTTGATAATTAATAATCTTTTTGGGATTGCTACCTAGGTTAAATGATATAGCATTATGCAATAATATTAATTCCCTTCTCTCCTTCCAAATGTTTTTTATTTGTAGTCTTAATATTTTATTAATACCACTACTGCTATCTAAAAGCTATAATATCACTTTTCTTCTCAGACATATTCTCCAGTTGAAAGTGTTTAATATCTCTACAAAGTGATTTTTAAGTTAAAGAAGTCAAAAGTATATCTCTCCTTCTCCCACCACACTGAAAGCTCAATATAAAAGAATAGTTCGGCCGGGCGCAGTGGCTCAAGCCTGTAATCCCAGCACTTTGGGAGGCCGAGATGGGCGGATCACGAGGTCAGGATATCGAGACCATCCTGGCTAACACAGTGAAACCCCGTCTCTACTAAAAATACAAAAAATTAGCCGGGCGAGGTGGCGGGCGCCTGTAGTCCCAGCTACACGGGAGGCTGAGGCAGGAGAATGGTGTGAACCCGGTAGGCGGAGCTTGCAGTGAGTGGAGATCGCGCCACTGCACTCCAGCCTGGGCGACAGAGCGAGACTCCATCTCAAAAAAAAAAAAAAAAGAATAGTTCTACAAAATAATTCATTTCAATCAAGCCATTTAGCTACTTGACTATATGGAGATAATGCTTTCAGGGTTCAGAGTTTTTGTTCTATTTTGGCTGTTGCAGTAATTTGTGGTGTATATGATGTATGTGGTATGTATGTGGTATATAGTTTTCTTCTCTCTCCCAGATTGCACCAGAGCTGCTGAACAATTAAAGAATAATCCTCGACACAAGAGTTACCTAGAACAAGTAACCCTGAGGCAGCTAGAGAAGCTATTCAGTTTTTTACGAGGTTACTTGTCAGGGAAGAGTTTGGCAGAAACAATGGAACAAATTAGAAGGGAAACAACCATTGATCCTGAGGAAGACCTGAACAAACTAGATGACAAGGAGCTTGCCAAAAGGAAGAGCATCATGGATGAACTTTTTGAGAAAAATCAGAAGAAGAAGGATGATCCAAATTTTGTTTATGACATTGAGGTTGAATTCCCACAGGACGATCAACTGCAGTCCTGTGGCTGGGACACAGAGTCAGCTGATGAGTTCTGACAGCAACCACTCAAAACATGCATCGGGCCAGCAGAACATCCGTGTCAGAGTCAGCCGAAGAGTTACGATACCAAACCCTCAAAACATGCGTCGGGCCAGCAGAATATCCATGTTTATTACCAGACTGGTTCTGGAAAAAGCTTTAAAGAATACTAAATATATATGTGGGGTTATAGGGGATTGACCATGTTACTTTTCAAAACCAGGACATTTAAAGCATCTACTAGGTAGG